TCCTGGCCGTACTACTAGGAGCAAGAAGCTACTAGGGGCTCCTGGCCTAAGGACGCTACTAGGGGATTCTGGCCTTACTACTAGGAGCAAGGGCGCTACGTTTGGGGCTCCTGGCCGTACTACTAGGAGCAAGAAGCTACGTTCGGGGCTCCTGGCCGTACTACGAACGGAGCAAGAAGCTACTACTCATCCCTCCTGTTATACCCCAAACATCCCCGAACGACCATCCTCCGGACCGCGGGACGTCCACCGCCGTTGATCGCTCAGAAGCTCATCGACGTGGTGCGGGTCAACACGCTCTGCACGGGCCGGCTAGTGGTCTCCCTGACATGCCGAACGGGGAGAACCAGCTTGGAGAGCGAGCTGGGTGGGAAGTTGGTGAAGGTGAGGGAACAGCTTGCACCATTGCGGCCTGCGCTAGCCCAAATTGGCATGCTTGTGGTCAATGATCAGAAAAGATATCGAGATATATACCGTAGTGATCCGTAGTGTTGCTATACAAAAATGGCCAACTTGTGACTCTTCCAATGTATGGGCAGAGACATGCTTGGCTGTTTTTCAGGCCTTTGATATCCACCCAGCTTTCGCATGATGCCCGTCCCACATGCACGATGGCACACGATTTGTCGTGCACAAGTCGAGTGTCGAGAATTGTGTCACGATCCGTGCCACGATCCCATGCCAGGCAGCTTTGGAATCATCAGTGGTTGCGCTGACAAAGGCGGGAAATGATCCATATTATATATAAATATCCAAATACTCCGCTTGAGATCTTGAGCTTGGTCATAAGAACTTAAGACGCTTTTCGTTTTGTTTGATTCTATGTATATCCCAGACACTCCATGTATGCCATATATAATATGCCTACATTGCAATGTATATATAGATTGCTTGAGGGCCAGGCCTTTTGCTTCGGCAGTGGAAACGTGGAAACGATCCTGCAAAGACTGACGCAGATGGGATCCCTCGAAGCGCACGAACAACGAACCCGTCTGCGCGCGGAAGCCCGCCCAGTTCCACAGGAGGTACCAAATGATGTATAATGATGTATATACTGTAGCGGCTGTGGGAGATTCAACCTTGCCCACCCAACCAATGGGAGGTTGAATCTCCTTTTAGTATTCTCATGTTCAGTGGTCGAAACTCGAAACTAGAAATTCCTTCATCCTTAATGAGACTAGTGGGAGAATGTGGGAGATCAAGATTCTGAGGTTAAAAACAGGTTAAAGCGTGTTAAAACTTTAATACGATTCCCCAATTCCCCGAGTGAAAACGTCTCCACCGGCGGTGGAGAGGGTCGTCATCGTGTCTTCCCCCAGCGATGGCGCGCCCCGTCGATGGCGCTCGCCCCGTCGACCAGGATGCAAATGGAAACCATGTGGTGCAGCGGTGTTTGGAGGTCGGAAACTTCGTTCCGCGCCTTTTTTGGTCGTCGACCGTGTTCGTTTGGAGCTTCCTTGAAGACGCGGTCCTGTCCTGCACCCAACTTTGGGGACGTTACCAGGAAGCTGGGTGTAGTGTTGGCGATGTGTGCTGATTGGCTTTCGGAAAACTTACAGGCTCGTGATTCATGATTCATGAATGTCATGTCTCAGATGCTTGATTCTTGCCAGCAGAAAGACTTCTGCTTAGCGTCTCCATCTGCCCGCGATGCGCCCAGTCACTTCCTTGTGAAGCACACGGCTTTATCTTTAGGCTGGATGGAAGGAGGAAGCAGCTGATTTGCCTGATTCTGTCAAGTTGCAGGGTTGGGTGCACTAACCTTGCAAACATGAAATAGCAAGCTGCGAAGCTCACACCAACCTTGGATCCGCCCTGAAAGAGACGAGATGGTCTTGGTTCTGGTTGCGTCTTGGACAGGCAAATCGCCCTGGAAATGCAGGAGGTAGCTTCTCACCGGCATGGTTGCAGGACTGGAAGGGCTTCAAAGTTTGATTTTATTCTACCACTGGAATCAAGTGAGGAATTAATTTAGTCTTAGATCAGATATTTAAAGTTATTGAAGTAAACTATTTATAACGGACTATTTAATTTATGATCATGTGGTGATATCCTTTCGGAACTCAGATCGATAATCGATGGATCGACAGATGATTTCTGCCAGGATCGTTCAGCGTTGCATTGATGCGGCGGTTAGCAGTGACAGGAGCCTGCTCATAGGCGCCTTTGCGCGCGCACACTAGTTTATTTGAAGACAACTCAAATCACAGTCCCTATGGATCCACATACCTTCTCAGAAGGTATTTGGGCCCTCCAAGCCTACATACATAGTCTCCAATCACCTTCTCAGAAGGCATGTGGATCCACAGGGAGTATATATATACATAAAATATAAAAAACATTGTGAAGACATTTTTCGTGTCAACCACACCCTCCATCTTTTGTGCTCGTTTGCGCCGGCTCTCGGCCACTCGTTTCGTGAAGCAGTGACGCCGAGACCCGGCAGGTTCCATTTGTCAAGCTTCCTTGACCCTCATACAGGACAGATGTGGGAGCGATTCAAAGGAAAGACCGGTCCCTTAGAGCTTGCGAACGTCTTGCAACACGTTTGGTTAGCTAAACTCAAGCTGCTAAACAAAATGCGAAGCGCATGCAATG